AAACAAGGAAGTGAAGTAAACGAAAGAGCGAGGAAGCGAGGGAACGAAAGAACAAGTAAGCGAAATAGCGAGAAAGCGGGAACACGGGAGAGCGATAAAACAAAAAAGCGAGCAAGAAATATCCGTGGCCGCGTTATAACATCGCAGTACGTTTTTCTTAGGACAGATTGTTCCAACTTCTTGGTAAGCTACCAAGAGCTAACTTCTTGGTAAGCTAACAGCAAAATTAGGTGTCTATCTTTGTCCAATTTGAAGAAAAAACGAAGACAGTCATACAACTTAACTGTTAGGTAGCTTACCAAGAAGTTGGAACAATCGGCCTTTAGAAACATTGTCCAGATAAACTTATGCTGGACGTTATCGCGTGATGTGTATCGATTTTCAGATATGTCGGTACGCGACCTTTGTCGTACATTTCAGTGCGAATAATGCCGGAACAATAAAACCGGTCTCTGACCGGTTCTACTCGGACCTATTTGCTCAGAATGACAATAATCATCTCTAAACAAGAACATCTGTGTAGAGGCCAAGACATGCGCGAGCTAACATGATGACGTATTAAAGCGTGTTGGATTGTTATGGGTAACTGAGCGAGAATAAAGAGTCGGGAGACAAGACGGAGGACGAGTTTTCTCCGAAATGCCCTAGCCCGAGTAACTGTTTGAAATGTATTAGTATCATTTTCCTCTTTCCTCGATCCTGTCTCCTATAATTAATTCAGAAAAGGGATTGTGACCTGCCGAGGAGAGAGGTTGCAACGTAGTCATCGAATATTTTACAGCGGACGGACTCCGAGATTATGTTAGTTTATGTTACATTATGTTAGATTATGTCGATACAAATTCGTTTATGTTATGTGTAACACATGTGTGGATCGTGATTGGCCAAGATCAAGATTAAAATAATTGCTGTAGGTTTACGTGGTTTAGAGGCTCGGGCGTTTAAAATTTTACGTTAGCATTAGCCGATTAGTTCGAGAAATTTTACGAGGCTTTACGGGCAACTGCGAACGGCCGAAATAATGAGTACGCTCACAGTTTTGGAACTTAAAGAGAAGTTACGCGAGTTTGGTCTCACGACGACGGGCCTGAAACAAGAGCTGATTGCTCGATTATTGGAAGCGGGTGTCACTTATGAAGAATTGAACCCACCTCTAGATGGACCTCGTGAACAAAACAGTGAAGCGAGTAATGCGGCGGTGATGGAGCCGGCTGAGACGGACTCGGCGGTGTCGGGGCGCGAGCTGAATTTGCTCCGTAGAGAGAAAGAGCTGGCTGAATGGTGGATGTGGAGGTATTGAGGAGAGAGCTAGAGTTTTTGCATGCATTGTCTGCGCGTCCAATGAAGTCTGCGGCGGGGCGGCCCCATTGGCGTGATATCAGGGACTTGATTGGCAACTATGAGGGAAGCGGCAGAGATTACAACGGTTGGGAGCGACAACTCACGGACTTAGTGGATGCTTATCACCTCGATGATATGCAAAGGCATTACTATGTAATAAACTGCAAGGAAAAGACGCAGATCCGGAAACATTGTCCGGATAAAGGACTCCGCACAAAACCTATGGAAAATGGTTTTCGGTAAAATTGGCTGAAATTTCACTATGTTATAGTTTTCGCCATGCTGATAAAAAGTTATCATTGCACCAAGTCCCAAAAGTCAATATTTCCCAAGATATAAAGGGTCAAAATAGTAAAATATGGTCATCCGCAGTAGTAAGACGTATGTTATAAGTATAAGTGATACATTGATATTTATTCACGAAATAAATAAAAATCGATTTTAACAT